ACAGTTAGTGACAGGTTAACTGTACATTGTCAGGTTAACTTGTGTACTGTCTTCAGTGCATGCGTGGTACGGTCAAAATACACGCGTCGTCGGATGTCCTGGTCGAACGGCAATTCTTGACGATCGATTCCCGCGCTGCAAACTTTTATTGTGGTGGAATTTAAACGGGGCGCAACGATTCAAACAGGGGGGAGTTTTCCCAAACGGGGCGCAACGATTCAAACATGGGGGAGTTTTCCCAAACGGGGCGCAACGATTCAAACAGGGGGGAGTTTTCCCAAACGGGGCGCAACGATTCAAACAGGGGGGAGTTTTCCCAAACGGGGCGCGCGCGCCCCGTTTGCGCAACGTAGGGAGAACCCTGTATGTGTATGTGTACAGCCAGCTGCTCTTTCATGTGTTATCATGCTCTGACATCTTATTTCGTCCAGAACATGCACATCTATTTTTACATACGGTAAAACTTAAAATATTTTAATTATCAGGTTATATAATTTGCTGAAAATTTCAGCTTAAAATCTGAAAAGATATCTAGACAAACAGTAATTACTGTTACTACGAATTACGAATTAATTCGTTTTTCTGCAAAGCAGTGTTTTAAAATATATTTTAGTTTAACAAAAAACACTAACCCTAGTAGTGTTAGAAATATTTGTAGAAACAAGTAAAGGTCTATAATATATAATACTACATGCTTTGTGCCATTTCAAGAAACTTCTGAAATCATCTTTTACTTGTTCGGATGGGGTTTTGGTATTTCACACATACCACTATGTACTGATACGTTAATATTATAGTGTCTGCCATAAGGCAGTTTTGTCTGTAATCAACTAGCAATTAGCTGTAATCTACTAACCATTGGAGCAGTGTACCATTGGAGAGGTGAGTTACAATTTTGTGAATACGAATATCCCATTAATTACATGGAGACAGTCAATGAATATAAATCTAGTAGATACTAGGTATCCTCATCCTACCACTACCAGTGGATCTTTTATGTGTTCTGTGCATATATATATATATATATATATATATGAGATTTTATGGGTGGAAAAGAACGGTGGGTATTTAGATTTAGCTAACATTTATTATTTATTTGAGAGTTTGTGATATAATGTGATTTTATACTACAATATCACAATAAAAAAACAGCACATATATTTTGAAAACAAATTGTATCAGATGCAAAAATTCGCTCGTACTCTCTAAATAAATTCAGTAAATTAGAGACTATAGCAATCTCAACCACTTGAAAACTGTACAATCTGCCTTATTTGAGAGTACTCACTAATTGCCACAGATGATACACAGTTTTCCTACATTGCCTAGTTAAAATGTAAGAATGGGTCAATAAGCTCTTAGTCATCCACCTATGCCTACCGCTGCAGCATTATGCTTCATCCATGTAGTGTGGATGCTGCTGCTACTAGTAGTCAGTATAGCTTCCATGGATCAATGTTTCAGGACAGCACACAACTGAGCGCTCCTGTGCAGGTGTGCACCTCTAATCTGTACACATAGCCATATCAGTGATGTAGATTAACACTTGCTCAGTCGCTCAAGGATTCACGATGATTTATTGGGTGCTACGATTACGTCAATACAATTTGCTTGCTCTTTCCTAGAATCCCGATATATTTTTGATGACTAGCATAAAAACTACTTCAATCTATAGTTGAAACTGCTAAGAAAAGACTTGCAGTTCTTTTTTTGATACACGTGCTCTGAAATGTCATGCTCGTAATACATAATGAAACATCATTTTAGTGTTAATTTCCAATTTCCAACATGAATTCCAAACTTTTGGATTCATGCGTGCACGCGTGTGTGTGCGTGTGCATGTGCGTATGCGCGTGTGTACATATATATACCAATGTTGTGGCAGCTTAATTTAGACGTAATACTTCGTAGGATTCGATCTTGGATTAAATTGTGCATTCTCGCATTATACACATTCAATAGAGGTCGATTTTTTTAAATATCATGTGTGCATTATGGTGAAAACCCCTTTCCCTAGGAAACAAATTGGGATTAGTGCCCGTTTGAAGGTTGTTCACATATTCTGCAATCAAAGTACTTTGGTTTTTCAGTGACAGGTCGTGCGGCTAAATGAATCTGAGTAACCTACAATTCTGTCAATATATTTGCCAGAATTAGCCGCGTTCACACGTAGCAAGAAATCCGTTATTTAGCGTTCACACGAGGCAAAATGCGCAGTCTAAGAAATACGGTATTTAAACAGATCCGGTATTTCATGTAAATGCGCGGCTTCTCAGACCCCGAATAATTTGCCGTTCTTGAGAAATACCGGATCTCTTGGACCGCGCATTTCCTCGGGTGAACGCTAAGTACCGGATTTCTGAAGCCGCGTATTTTATAGCCTGGTCCGAGCTCGACAGTTCCAGTGTAACGCGAGTGGAACTGTCGAGCGCGGGCCAGTCTACGTATTTGCAGTTGGTGCGCATTGCATTGTTTATTTCACATTGTTTGCTTGATTGTTTAAAGCAGCTCGTAGTTTGCAAATACGGCATTTCTGGAGCCGCGAATCAGCGTGTGAACGCTCGGCCACGTATTTGTCTCAGATTCAGTATTTCGCAAATACCGTATTTCATAAATACGAGGTCTCGTGTGAACGAGGCTATTCATGACAGGCTGTTGCGAATAAAGGTCATCTATTGCTGACATGTTTCTGTAGCCTCTAATGTTTGGCACTTCATGTGGAAACTCATTTAGCTGCCCTGGCTGAGCAACTATATTGTGGAATTGGTAATTTTGAAGATACACTAACAACCACCATTTACATTATGTGATAAATGGAAATAATGACTCAAACCCATGTATATCGACCAGACAGGGGAAATGACAAAAGTGGCCTTTATCGACAGATGGCTTTTCTATAGAGGAGACATTTAGGCAGACATTTTGAATTTTTATCGAACGAGATTTATCACCCTGAATTTTTGCAGTGTCATACTATTTTTATCGTGCCCTTATTATTCTAGTTTCCTGTTTTTTTAGCTGGTTCCACCCGTTTGAAAGATCCTGACCTGTTGTAGAAGTCAGGAGGGCCAATGAGAGAGAATGAAAACATTATCATAGGAGGAGGAGAGAATGGGTATAAGAAGAAGGTAGAAAAAGAGATAGGGAGGCGAGAGAGCAAGTGGAAATAGCTGAGGGTGGAAAGAGAGGACGGGAAGGAGGAGGGGGTGCAAGAGGAGAATATATAGAAATGTGAAGGAGGGGGTAGAGGTGACAGGGCGAGTCAGGAGATAGTGGTGCTAGCACTTTAGCTATCGCCTGTGTGACTTGCAATTTTAACCGGAACATTACCTTAATTGGAATTTGAGTGTATATTATGAATATGATACAATTGTGTGAAAATATATGCCTGAATTTTCTGTTATCACACATTTACTTTTATTATTAGACATTGAAAATCAACACGTAGGCACCACACGACTTCTATGGCCCCCTGACGAAGTTTGCACTTTTTAATTTTTATTTTGCCCCTCTCAGACTGGACAAATTTTCATAACTAATTACTATTTATCTAGATTACTTTCTGTGTAGGATAAGTGCATGCATAATCTAGTTAAGACTAACAGCAGTTTATATTAGTTAAGACTAATATATAAGTTATTACAATCCTTCTTCTCTTAATTAATAATAATGAATGCACTCGGCTGTTGCGTACAGCTAAAACCTTGACAGGTAGTGGCAAAACCAACGTGTAAGGAAACGATCATCAACAGTTTTAAAACATTTATACTAGTGAATATTAAACCACATGATTTTTTATGTGGCTTCATTTACGTCTACTGTAATTTGAAATATACGTTAAACCTACACTAATGGTCCCCTTTAGCTCGCTGGACCAGTGTACACTGTCAAAGGTTGATAGCACAATACAAAAAAACCGACTGCCTTAAACAGGTGGCCACTATGCGCGGTTATTGTCACGTAACCTTTTTCAGTGGGGTAATCGTTGAATACTGCTGTAAACAGATGGCCACTCTGTGCGGTTATTGTCACGTAACCTTTTTCAGTGGGGTAATCGTTGAATACTGCTGTATACAGGTGGCCAGTTTGTAGAGGTTGCTGCTAAAAGCCACGTAGTTGATTTTTTAGCTGCTACTGAAATATATAGCTTTTGAAAACCTTGTGATGACCCTTGGTTATAAATACTACTAGCTAATTCAAATGTCTTGTATCTGTAATAACTGCTAATAACTGGTAATAACCGATAACAGCTGATAATGTAAACCAGACTCGACAGCAGGGAAAGCCACGTCAACACTGGAGAGCTAGTGCTTCCCCCTATAAACAATAGCCACGGTCATCACACGCCGAGGCGTGAGTGGTTGAGTCGGTCGAGTTAACCTCATCACATGGCACGCTACCACGTCCCTCCATCCCTTGACCAGAAACACTCCTCAGAGGTCCAGCCTCGGAGGCGGCACTCCACGGGTGAGCCGAGCTGAGCGACGCACTGGTGGAGCAGCTCGACGTGAAGACGCCGGCTGCCCAGCCACAGGCCCACCAGGTGCAGCCTCAGAGGCAGCGACCTGAGCCTCAGCTGCACGCAGGGCCGGCAGTGGTGGATCCTCACGCGGAACCTCACGGCTCGTAACCTCGGGCAGCACAGGAAATTCCGGCTTAGCTGGGTCCTCAACCTGTTCAGGCAGTGCGGGTGCATCCAGGTTGCCGGTGCATTGTAGAAGGTGGTCCTGATGACGACGCACAATACGACCATCCTGGAGCTGGGCCGTGAATTCCCACGGATTCGCAGCATACTCCCATGGATGTAGTGGTGCTTTTGCTGGCCTAGATCGATTCACCTGACATGATATGCAGCTTTTCACTCTATCTTCCAGATCACTATCCATAGAAGGCCACCACACATAGTTGCGTGCCAGGCTTTTCATGCGTGATGCGCCCGGATGGTCCTCATGAAGCTCTTCAATCAGTGCCGCACAATGGACGTCAGACCCATTACACGTGTACCCCACAACACACACCCGTCCTCGCATGGCAATTCCGTTCTCCGACGGAAGTAAGGCATCAGTTCCACTGACGGATTGTTATCAGGCCAGCCCTGCAGCACATATTGAACAACACGTGCCAGGACTGAATCCGATTTAGTGTCCTGCTGAATCATTGTGCATGTCACAGGACATCCTTCTAGGTGCTGCATCAAGTTGACTATTGATGGTGGTACCGGTATCTCCACAGTCTGAGGTAGTGGAAGCCTACTTGGCACATCTGCATTCGCTATGGATGGGCCAGGTCTGTAGACGAGCTCGTAGTCGTAGCCTTGTAGGATGAGTGCCCATCTCTGCAATCGAGCCGATGCCAGTTGTGGAACTGCCTTCAGCTCCCCCAGTAGACCTAGTAAAGGCTTATGATCAGTGACGATTTTGAAATGTCTTCCCCACAGGTACTTGTGGAATTTCTTGACGCCCACTATTCATGGCCAATGCTTCTTTCTCCACCTGAGCATAGTTCTTTTCAGCTGGTTGCAAATCCTGGAGTGATAGTGCTCAGACAGGATGCTCATCACCATCAATCTCGTGAGCCAGGACCGCACCTACTCCATAGGCTGAAGCGTCACAAGTCAGCAACAGGGGTTTATTGACATCATAATGAGTCAAGACAGGAGCTTTCCGCAGGAGCTCCTTATCAGCATTGAAAGCTCGGTCTTGATCGGTGCCCCAACTGAACACATATCCCTTTTTTAAGAGCCGATGCAGTGGTTCAAAAGTGCTTGCCAAGTGTGGTAGGAACCGCAGGTAGAAGGTCAGCATACCTAGGAAAGCCCGGACTTGTGTCACATCTTTGGGCTTTGGTGCGGCCACAATTGCGATGACCCTGTTGTCCAGTGTAGCCAGACCATCCTTGCTGATTTGATGACCAAGGTACTGCACGGATGTCATGCCGAAACAGCACTTGTTCTTCTTTAGCCGCAGGCCAGCCTCAGCGAGCCGTTGAAGAACTTCCTCCAGATTGGCCTGGTGTTCTTCCTTAGAAGCGGCGGACACGAGAATGTCAGCAAGGTATACCGCAGTGCGAGGGATTCCTGCCAGCAGATTCTCAATCATCAGCTGGAAAATCGCTGGGGCCGATGAGATTCCAAATGCGAGTCGACTGTAGACAAATAAGCCTCTGTGAGTGTTTATGGTATTATACTGCTTACTTCTCTCATCAAGCTCAATTTGTTGGTAAGCATGTGCCATGTTCAGCTTGGTGAACAGCACACCTCCCGACAGCGTAGCGAAGAGATCTTCAGGCGTCGGAAGTGGGTAGCGGTCTACATCCGCAAACCGGTTCACCGTGACCTTATAGTCACCACATATATGCGTACCGTGTTATCCGGTTTCAAAATAGGCACAATGGGTGCTGCCCACTCAGCAGAAACCACCGGCTGAATGATGTTTGCCTCGATTAGGCGGTCTAGTTCCTGATCAATCTTGGGCTTCATCAGATATGGCACAGTCCTAGCCTTACAGAAGACTGGAGTTGCCTCTGACTTCACATGAATTGAAGCGGTCACATTCTTCATCGTGTCAAGTTCATCACAAAACAGCTCAGGGTACCAAGAGCTCGGGCTCGAGTCAGCTCGGTTCGGCTGCTTTTCCTTCAGCAGGTGGATTGTTTGCCAATCCAGTTGTAGAGTGCATAGCCAGTTTCTCCCCATGAGAGTAGCACCCCCTCCAGTTACCACCAACAACGGCAAGGTTGCTCGCTGGCTGTTGTGCTCGACAGAAGCTTGGAACTCCTTGCAGGTTCGTACTGGCTCACCAGTATAAGTTCGAAGCTTGACTGTGCTCGGCTGAGTCTAGCCTTGTTCTGGCCAAATATATTCCGATATGTGGTTTCCCCTATGAGCGATAATGAGGCACCTGTATCAACTTCCATCGGTAACATTTGGCCATTCACCTTGACTTGAACGATGATCGGAGGTTCTGAACGAGTGCTGCTCACTGTATAGACTGAGTAAAGCTCCTCCGAAGCAGCAGATGATGGCGTCGTCTCAACCATGTTCATCTGATTTCTCTGCTTGGAGCGACACACCTGCGAGATGTGTCCTGTCTTGCCGCAGCTAAAACAGGTTTCACTCTTGTAACGGCAGCTATTCGGTTGATGCATACCCCCTCAGCGGTAGCATTCCGAGCGGAATGGCATTTTCTCTTCTGTTGCTTGAGCAAGTTTACGCAGGGGCGCATCCCGGTACTGCTGCGTTGCCCAGTACTACTCTGTTGCCTAGTCGAGTTAGTACTACTGTGCTGGCCAGGGTTTGGACGAGTCCAAATCTTGTTGACAGCAGTGAGTTAGACTTCTGAATATCCTGGGCATTCTTGCCCGCCAGCTCCATTGCTGTCGCAATTTCTAGGCCTCGCTTTAAATCAAGTTGCTTCTCAGATAACAACCGACGCTGGATTCCCTCACTCTTTACCCCAATCACTAACCTATCTCGCAGCATCTTGTCCAGGGTATCATCAAAGTTACAGTCTTTGGACAGTCTCCTCAGCTCTGCCATGAACCCCGAAATCGATTCAGATGCTCCTTGTACCCTGGTGTGAAATTTAAAACATTCCACTATCTCGGCAGGCTTTGGCGAAAGGTGTTCCTTCATCACGTCAATTAACTCCTCATAGAGCTTGGTGGCTAGGTTATCCGGCGAGCACAAATTTCGCAGCAGCCTGTATGCCCCTGGCCCCATGACGGTCAATAGCACAGCCCGTTTCTTTAAAGGACAATTGAAGTAAAATTTTATAACTTCTGTAACGTTTTTATACATAGAAATACATTCAATAACGTATTCCATTTCAAATCCGGCGCCCAATTAGTAAGAAACACATGAATATTAATCTAGGTCATGTGACGTCACAGCCCCATGTTGAAACACGCCATTATATAGCGTAACAGTGCTAACACGCTAGTATATGTTATGCTAGGTGAAAGTACCCTATTGTTAGCAGCAATACACAAACATGTAGCCTGTAAATGTACTTATATTCCATGTACATACATATTACCTGTGTGGCATATCGGCATTCACCGGTATATGTACCAGTCGACCTCTCCGCGTCAGAGATGTTTGTACATGTAACAGAATACATGTCCGATCTCTCGACAGCGACGCGTGATAACGCCCGGTGATGCAGTTGTACTCGCATGCCCGTCACCCTGGTAGCGTCGAACTGGTCTACAATAACCCTGGTCTTCTCATTCTCGATGGGAGGCATATACCCCTCTCAGCGTGGGCCGGTACCTCATTAATTCACAAACACTACAAGAACACCAGTATTTGTCTACAGTCCTATCTGGTACCGAAGCTTCCATTCCGCCATGAATTGTGACTGTTCTGATTCTTGAGAAGCTTGTGCCGACTCTTCGCGTTGCTTTTTCAGACGATTCTTCTCAATTTCTTTTTGTGTATATTCAGGCTCAAAGCTATATCCAACTGGTAAATCACTATAAATATCATCATCATCTGAGTAATCACTAGAATCATTGAAATTATCGCTTTCTGTCTCCATCTTATACACCACACGCACTATGTTTACATAATGGCGTGTTTCAACATGGGGCTGTGACGTCACATGACCTAGACTAATATTCATGTGTTTCTTACTGCGGATTTGAACTGCGGGCGCCGGATTTGAAATGGAATACGTTATTGAATGTATTTCTATGTATAAAAACGTTACAGAAGTTATAAAATTTGACTTCAATTGTCCTTTAACCCAGAAATATCATTCGCAATGAAGAAATTTTCTGGTCTTTCAATGTAATGGTTCCAGTCCTCACCATTCGCCGGGTTAAATGCCTCCATCAGTCCTATAGTGGCCATAGCTAGTTTTATCCTCGTCGCCAATGTAATAACGGCTAATAACTGGTAATAACCGATAACAGCTGATAAATGTAAACCAGACCCGACAGCAGGGAAAGCCACGTCAACACTGGAGAGCTAGTGCTTCCGCCTATAAACTTGACAAGTTGCACGGTCATCACACGCCGAGGCGTTCTTGGTTGAGTCGGTTGAGTTAACCTCATCACATGGCACGCTACCACAGTATCCAAATTGTGTCCATTAAAAAAGAAGCCTTTAGCCTTAGGTTACTGAATTTCGTAGTACTTGCATGCAACTACAATTAGATGATAGTTCTTAATTTAATTGTCATTTTGTGGGCTGTTGATCCGTTCACTTAATCTAATCACCAGCTAGTGTAATAAAATCGATACTAACTTGCTTAATTACATTTTTCAAAGCCAATGAGTGCCAGCGTTAGCCCAGACGCAATACCTTACTATGCCTAAACGCAGTGAACAGTTTTACAATTTGGCTCGATAGCTGGTTTAAAAATTGCTCTTCCAATGCATATGTACCATGTACTTGCAGCGCCAGCTAGTGGAACAAAAACAGAGACAGAAGCGTAGCATGCCTGGTATGGTGCAGGCCAATGATCAGCCGCGTCCAACATCTGCACGACGAGGAAAGTCAGGGGGTAGCGCCCGCGACGAGACGAAACCTCTGATGCAGTACAACAACAGCAGTGCACCTTCCTTACATGGTAATTAATTTATTAGGTATTATATTCATGCCGTTTAGCATTGCGCTTTAGTAATTTACTCATATCTACATTCAGCATAGTCATTCAGCATATAGGTTCTATTTAACTCTCAACCATATAGATTGCGTACTTCACTGGCTTGGGATTGACTGCTTGTGACATTGCGTTATCAGGGTTTCTTATATATACATAAAGAGGCACAGTGGCGCACCACTGTTGTCAAATTTAACATCGCCCTTGTGAAAATGTTCCTGTATTTACTGATAAGTATAAAAACTTGTATAAAATACTAATAATTGTACTAAGTAAGATACTAATAATTTTACTAAGTAAGATACTAATAATTGTACTAAGTAAAATACTAATAATTGTACTAAGTAAAATACTAATAATTGTACTAAGTAAAATACTAATAATTGTACTAAGTAAAATACTAAATATTACTGACTGAACAATGAAACTAGATGGGTATGTCTTCAGCAAACACTCAGATTAGGATCTCGTGTATTTACGTTATCATGTGCAATAGTATTTGAAGTAATACTTATGAGTAAGTAGTTATTTATTCCAATTAAGTTGCTTTTAAGATTTTTAATACTCCTGATAGTTTTAAGGAAACAATAATCATGGGATAGTTAATAGCAGCAATAATAAGGAAGATTCTTGTATAAATGACGCACATCAGCACGTGCCTCCAAAATTGGGGGGGGGGGCATCATTTTGCTATTTGCTACCATTTGATATGGTATGTAAGAGGTGCGCGCCAAATCGTAACGTACAGACTGCATATTTGATCCTACATTAAATGAGTCATCAGTTCTCAGTTCAGCTCGCCACGTCACCCCGCAGACAGCAATTGTACAATTACGTGACCTAAATAAGGCTATGCGCATGCGTATTGCGATTTAGCACCGGGTCTGGCCCGCGTGTTTTGCGGGTGTCACTTTCCCCCGGGCGTAGATGGACAAGATGGCGTCGGTGGCGTAGATCATACTAGATGCTTCAAAGTCCAAATCTTCCGCAGAAAGATTCCACAGTCATACTTTCGTGCTAGACATGGCCTTATTTCCCTAACCCTAACCCTAATCCTAACCCTAACCCTAACCCTGAGCCTAACCCTAATCCTAACACAAGTGCAGCCACATCACGTGACCATGCATCCATCTACGCCCGGGGGAAAGTGTTTCCCAAATCGTACAGACATAGCTTGGTGCGGGATAACTTATTCCGCGCCTGGCCCTCCTTCATTTGCGGGGCCAAATTGGTGCGGGCCAGCGTGTATTTGGAGCGGGATAGCGTGTACACACTGCAAAAATTTGGTGTGCGCCTAACCCGCACCAGTTTAATACCATATCAAATTTTCAGTCTGTATGGGGTTTTAGTCGTGTGTGTGCGTTGTAATTAAAGAGGCATGTTCTATGTTTACTGTGTACTCCTATTTGATTGTGTAATCTGTGAAGGACCCTCGACTAGCACTGTAGCAGCTTTATTAAAATAATTAAAGGTTAAACGTCATTTTTTCACAACCATTAAAAGAGAACACCACCATTATTTCCTTTTTGTTCAAGTTTTATTTATGCCAGATGCCAATTTCGATTTTTTATTCAGTATTAATCAGAAATAAGTAACTTTTTTTTTAAACATTGATACCAATAGGTTTTTATGGTACCAATCGTGGGCTCCACTGCTTCTGCTGCATCTTGTGGTTATCATAATCCAAGTTGCCCTTTTTCTATACGTTTTCCTATGTTTTAGGAACGTTGATATTTTTTGTCTTCAAAATGATTAAGATATTGCAAGATTTGTTCATTATTTGCACTGCACAATTGTAGTTTAAATTAAATAGAGTATCACTTTTATAATAAGCTTTAGGTCTGTAAGCATGGACAAGTAAAATCCAAAAGTACAACTCGTATCATAACAGCAAGATGGAAGCAGAACAAACAATGCTGTCATCCATAACAATTAATGGCAATTTTCAAAATGAATCAATACAATAGTTGATATTTTGCGAAAAAAATAACAACTAGCATAAATAAACTGTGACTTATCTGAAAAATAATAACAGCTAGCTTGCTAATGTTGTTCTTTACCACTACAGGTGTACGTAAGGTCTGTTAAATATAGGTAAAGTGATAAATTCTAAGGCTGGGGTAAATATAGATCGTGTCTGCTTGTTTTATATTCGCGTTAGCAGTCCCATCTATCACGTAATACTATAATTAAGATAGCGATGAATCTCGTTTAGTGGTGATTTACTTCACAATGTTGCCACGAGTTGACTCGTGTTTTACAGGGACTTATGATAGATTGACACCTATAATAACATTAGCAATGATTATATTTTTTGTCTGGTGCATTTGGTTATTTGGGCATCGGTAACATGTGGAGCAATTAGAATAGGCACAGAAAAGCTGCTTGCATGTTTGTTAAAAAGACGTGTAATTTTCTTAGTAGTTATTTTATTTGTTCTATTGGTTAACAACTTATTTATGTTACTCACTTACTATCCCACCATAGAACATATTCGTGAAAAATTCTTCATAGTGATTAATCACAGATTTATACATTAAGCCTTTGGCTGTCCTAATTTTAATTGGAACTTTTGGTTGGGGCAATGAGACAGGTTTTTTGATGTGGCAGATCACATAGGCCTACTAATAACGTTGTTGGGTGCTGCAAGTTTGGGAACGACCGCTGGTTCTGCACTGTGATCATGTGTTAATATTTACTGCAAATACATGATACACAATGTAATTGTATGATAAGTACTGTACTGTGCATGCATTATGCAAATTGCACGTTTATAGCAGACAATGCATGTGCACGGTGTATAATTTGCATGTACGATGTGTGCTGCGCATTGTGTTGTACGTAGTATCATGAAGTTCTGCTTATGATAGTATACATGAGTTAAACGTAGTATGCATGTGTTATTATGTGCACTGTTTATTCTGTCATGTCATATATATATATACATACAATCAAGAGCTAATAATACCTAAGCTAATAAGCTAATGTATTAATTATTAGCTCTTGATACAGTGTTTCCTACTTTATCGGGCCTCAGGTAAACAGGCACATCACTTAAACGACATAAACGATAAAACCCCTTACACATGTTATTTTAATCGGATAAAAGGGACATAACATGGAATAAATAGGTTGTTTTCTACAGAACAGATTCTTTTTTTAAGTAAATGGTGTAAAAGTAAAACGATCCTAAACTTTGAAACAAATTGACAGTTCAGGTTTGTCTTGGCTTTCATTCTGAACATTCAGCTTACAAAATATTTTTATTGCAAATTTGTGTATTGTACACTGTGTTTATTGTACAGAGCATTTTGTGTAAAGACAATTGCATAAGGTACAAATAGGCATGCATGTGCGAATGGAAAATCTGAAAATGTGTTCACTGCTTAATTGAGATATTTTCATAGTTTCCTGACTTTCCGGTCTGTCCTGATAAAGTGGGAACACCGTATGTAAATAGCATTATCTCAGAAATATGATGCTTTTTTCATTTCTCTGCAGACTGCATGCTGGTATATTTGACTATGTAAAATGTGTCTGCAGGTTATGATGGTCCCCTCTCCTACTCACTCAGCAGTCCTGACAGTACAGCTACCACGGTACAGGTCCTACCAGTCATTGGACAGAGCTCAGATTTTGATGATGACGATGATTTTCAAGTACTTGGTGAGTTCGAAATTAGCGAGCAGGGGTAATGAAATGGTGCGGTCTAGCACTACTGGCATTTGGATGGTTAGAAAAAAAGTCCCTTGCTGCAGTCTGGGTTGTGACAAAACATGATCTGTCACAGAGGTCTCCTGGGCTGTGAGAAAACATAACCTGATCTCAGCAGATGTGTGAGTCGTTACAAAACGTGCCTTGCCATGGTGGGCGTATAAGTCGTTGCAAAACACAACATGTCACGGCGATCATCTGGCCGCATTAATACTGCATGGCTGAAAGCACCATTGTCATAAATGTGTAATGGCTACATAGCCTGTAATCGGATTTTCAGATTCACAACAATAAACAGGGCCTACAGCATATATGCTGCCATCTGCATCATGACACGAAAAGCACATGTCATTGCTACCATCTACACCATGACAAAGGCCTATCATAACACACATGCTATATAGAATTGCTGTAAACTGTATTGTGACAAAACATGGTTGTAAGAGAGTGCTGCAGAGGTTTCAGGAGTGAGCATGGAGTCAGCTTCGTTGAGTAACATTTGGTTTCATTGATGTATAGAATATTGTCTGTGTGCCGATAGCTGTTGTTGGTGCATGATAAAATCGGGCATGGCTGTATATTATTTATGCATATATATGTCTTTTCAATTTACATCTCACATAAACACTAAAATATAATATTGTGATGTCATGACATTATTGTTATACAATACCTGTGTGCTTGTTCCATTCTATTTAGTTGCAGTTGCCTAGCAACCCTATTCATAGGTCTACAATAGTCTTGCAATAATATGAAATTCCAAGCAGAAGCTAAAGATGGATAACTACAAAAGAAGACGTTTTCGCAATAATCTTTTATGTAAATTGAATATAATTGTGTTAAGAATTTACAAAATAGATGCATAATTCAGTAATTAGGCTATTAAATAAGAATTGAAGCAATTTTTTGTGATAGTATTTTTTATCGCAAAAATAATTTAAATAGAACTGTTTCGCGAAAGCATTAAGTTTTTGTCTATTTGTAACAACTTATGTGGTAATTAATGATATCATTTCAGACACAGAACATAAATTGGAGCAAATGGGTCTCACTACGCATGCAGATTATGATCTGGAAGATGAGGAGAGCACCCCAGTTATTCCTGTAGACTCTCCTGATGATAATTCTGGTGATATGACTCCTATTGGGCAGACACCTGGCATGGTGAGTTTGGAGGTTAGCAGTAATTACTGCACGAAGAAACATTTCCATATTGTTACTGCACAGCTCTTTGGTTTCCTGTGTGTGCATTTCACATGATGTAGAGATGTGAGTATCACGTTACAGAAGAAACTCTCCCTAAATTTAACGCAAACTGAAATATCAAAGGCTAAAGTCATGATGTAGTCTAATGCTTTAACCATCTACTCTAGGAGCAGCCGCTGGCAGCAAGTGGTGGAGCCATGGCTCAAGTTGATATTGATGACTTAGAAGCATTCGTGTTGAAGCCAGCTCCACAAGGTGTCACCATAAAGTGCCGTATAACCAGAGACAGAAAAGGCGTCGATCGTGGAATGTATCCTACCTACTTCTTACACCTCGAACGTGATGATGGGAAAAAGGCAAGCACGTGTGAACTGCGAATCTCATAGTTCTTTTTTCGTGTCTATATATGTGACCCGTCGCATCGCAACATTTTCAGATTCCTGACTCCATTACCTTCATTTTGATACAATTTGTACCTAAGAGGATATATGGTTAACTACAACGTTGTTATTTAGGTTTCGTGATTGGTGAGCCTCCTATTGTAGGGTAATGTAGTATTTATCAGGCCAGCAATCACTGCAGAATCTTGTCTCAACATCTCTCGATATGTGCTGTATTATCATAAACGTGTGGCTTTACAAGGATCGACTTACAAATGTCTTTATCTCTATTTTTCAGGTGTTTCTGCTTGCAGCACGGAAGCGAAAGAAAAGCACAACTTCAAACTACCTGATCACCATTGACCCCACAGATCTCTCTAGAGCTGCTGAGTCTTATGTTGGAAAGCTCAGGTATGTTATTTGTGCAGGACATCTTCATGCATGCATATTACAAACACGCGCACATGCACGCGCACGCGCACGCACACGCACACGCACACACACACGCACACACACACACACACACACACACAATCTCATGTATTGTGCAGACGGGTTGTGGCATTCGTCTGTATCTTCTTGGAAAATAGATTTTGTTGCACTAACGTCCCTTAATTCCCTTGCATTGTTTCTGTTGCTGCAAACAACAGCATTGGAGTGACCTCCCTGTAGGAAGACTGGGAGGAATATATGAAGAGCCTGGGTTTCCCAGTCTTCAGAATCCCTCTGTTTGCCCTGCTGGTGTGGTCCAGAGGCAAGCAGAGCAATATCTTTAGCCTCAGCTTGGCTTAAATAGCTGCTGGAAGGATGATCGATGATACCGATGTCCAGCTGCCTTTTTGTGCCCCATTCCAAATTTTCTGTCTGGATTTACTCCAATTGCCATTTTTTTGTCCAAGGATATCCTGCAAGGCAGTGGGGCCTGTGGAGAGCCAGGTTTTTACACATTGAGGAAATTTACTGTGGCAGGGATTTGAACAGGGAAAGGTGGACATGCTAACCTTTGGACCACTGCAGCAATCACGCACACGTGTACACTTATACACATACACTCAAACCCAGTAAAGATTGCAAACTTGATCCTACATCAAACTAGTTTGGGCCTGGCCCAGATTAAATTTTTGCAGTGTGTACACGCTATACCAGGCCAAATACACGCTAGCACGGACTAAGCTAGTCCACCGAATTGAGGTTGGTGAGGCCCACTTCAAACCGTGCTAAGTATTTTCGGACTAAGGTATCCCATGCAAAATGGTGTGTGTATGCAATCCGGGGTAGACGTGGGCTAAATTTGTAGTTATCGGCTGTAATTGCGTATTTTGTGGAGAGGTTATTCTAGGTTTATGGCCTTGTACAGGGTTTCGTCAAAGCTTTCTTACGCAAATTGAAGCAGAAAAATCAAGTGCGCGTACTACTTGTGATATCTGCTACACTACCTGAGTCCTCACTTTTGTCTCACCACACATTACTGACACCCAATGCATTATAAAACCCAGAGTGATGTACTGCTCATGACTGGGTTGAACACAATCCATTTGTACTACACATCAATTACTCATAATTATTCTTCCACCAAGTATAATGTGTTAAAGTGGTGCGAGATAACTAATTAAAATTATTTTGAATAGGCTAGTACAGGGCTGTACGGGGCCCGGGAAGGGACCCCCGGAGGTTTCCACGAGATATTATATCGTTCAATTTTTATGTCCATTTTCCGTCCATTTCACGAAGGAATGAGATAATTATCTCGAGGGAACGATATAATATCCTGTGGAAACGAGATAGTATCTCGAGGGAACGAAGATACCCCCCGAAAAAATATTTTCCCATGTTCCTTCCCGGGCTCCGTAGGGCTGGCAACAATGCTGCCAGCTAAATATTACACTTGAAATGGCTACTTATGATGAGTTCTTTACAATGTTTCCAGTTATAAGAATGAGCTTTGAAATGCTTTTTTGAAACGCTGTCCTTGCTAGAGCATTGTGTTCCATACCGAATTCATTGCTGGGATTTAATAAATGCTCGTGCAGGCACTTGTTTTTGATAAGAATGTAGATAGTGATTGATTAAATAGATAATCGATTAAAAGTGGTGTAAATTTGTTTCTTGTATTCATCACATTTACAGATATCATGTATGTCCTACATAGTTGCTCTTGTGTTTTCATGTAGTTGTAATTTTATTGGTATTAATTGATTAATGTATATTCTGAATTTCATGGTACATAGTTAAGGCACGTTTTTTACATTACTTTTATTAAAAATATTTTTGATGTTCTGAAGTATATATATGATATTACCAACAGGTCCAACATGCTGGGCACAGCATTTACATGTTTCGATAGTGGGGCTAACCCACGCAAGGGCATTGTGGATGGAAGCGATCTGCGTCGGGAACTTGTTGCTGTGATATACGTAAGTTTTTGTGTCTATATTTGCATTCATTTTGATGCGGCAAACACAGTTGTGTGGAGAAAAATGAGTTAGGAGCCAATATTACAGCTGAGTGGTACAAGGATGTAGGTTCTCATAGGAGATAGTGCAGCTTGTAGGGACAGGATGTGTTACATGATATGACAGAGTGATGTAGTCGTAGAAGGGTGGATGGAGGGAAGTGAATGGTTGAACTGGGAAGTAATGAATTACATCTCAACTTGTACTAAATGTATTACAATTACGATGGTAATTTGTTAAAAAATATACGTGCATTCAGTAAACATTGTGTTTTATAGTAAACACAAGCAATTGTAATTGTTGGGAAAATCTGTAACCAAGTTTAGAATTATGTTGGGCAATAAAAATACTGTTTTAAGCAAAAAAAGGTAAATTTTGACACGGTTTGTACTTCCTACTTTGTGCAGGAGACGAATGTGCTCGGATTTAAAGGTCCACGTAAGATGAGCGTCATCATTCCAGGGTTGAATCTTGACCATGAGAGAGTTGACATTAAGCCTCGATCGGTACGTACTGTAAGTCGATGTTTTTCTTGTAAATTCTTGCGTTTGAACAAATGTAACATACTTGCTAACGCTTGTAAACGTCTACTATCCTGTTCTGTTTCAGCACGTAACTAGTATAACCTCAATATTCTTTTGCATTCTGTTTTACGTACACCAATGAATGCATAGTGTGTTGTGTCCCTTTTAAATTGTGTTCGAACAAGTCAAAACTAATGTAATTTAAGTGTTGTATTGTGATGTTCGTTTCGACAGCTCTCTTATATTGTGTGGAGTTATGCACCTATTAAGCTTGTTCTTACAGGAACACGATGGACTTGTAGATCGACATAAACGTAAAAACATGGAGAACCTGCTGGAACTGCACAACAAGACACCGATCTGGAATGATGGTATGTCATTAGCAATGACTTTTCATGTTATACACTGACTGTTATCCAGATTGTGACATTACTGGTTGCTCTGGAGTAATCATAGAACATTGTTACCAGGAATATTTACTGAAAGATGTACACCATCTAGTTTAATGGACAGTAACAGGTCCATGAACAAATGAGAGAGGGAAAGAAATAGGAGACGTAAAAAACCATTTTGCTCTTTCAGACACCCAGTCGTATGTGCTGAACTTCCATGGGAGAGTGACACAGGCATCTGTGAAAAATTTCCAGATAGTCCATGATAATGATGGTAAGTGAATAGTAAAGAAACAATGCTGCTTCGATTCAGTCAGTGTTTACTAGCAAAACATTCATGGAATTTTCTATTGATATTGTTAACATATTAACGTTTGGTTTATTTGCTATGACCTCAATATCAAAATAACATAGCCTGTAACTGTAATTCTGCCAATTAATGGTGGTGTACCTAATGTTTACAATTATGGCCATTATGCTGACATATTCATGGCTCTAGTACTATTGGTAATGCTGATGCATTAATGGCTACTACTAATGATGATGGCTAGACCATATTGACATGTCCGCCTAGTACTATTGCGATAATTGCTGATGCATTAATGGCTACACTATTTGGATGATGATCTTGACATATTCCATGGCTGCTACCTGATTGGTTAATGCTGATGCATTAATGGACCTTACGACTTAATGATATGATGCTGACATATTCATGGCTTAGTACCTATTGGTAATGCTGATGATTAAATGGCTACTCTAATGATGGATGCTAACATATTCATGGCTACTACTAATGATGATGCTGACACATTGATGGCTACTACTAATGATGATGCTAAACACATTGATGGCTACTACTACTGATGATGCTGACACATTAATGGCTACTACTAATGATGATGCTGACATTATTTGGATGGTACTATGATGATGATGCTGACATATGATGCGCGCTACTTACTAATGATGATTGCTGACACATTGATGCTACTACTACTGATTGATGCTGACACTATGATGATGGCTTACTACTTATATGATGATGCTGAACGCAATTGATGGCTGATTGACTATTGGTAATGCTGATGCATTAATGGCTACTACTAATGATGATGCTAACATATTCATGGCTACTACTAATGATGATGCTGACACATTGATGGCTATTACTACTGATGATGCTGACATATTGATGGCTACTACTACTGATGATGCTGACACATTAATGGCTACTACTAATGGATGAGCTCGACACATGATGGCATTACTACTGAATGATGATGTGCTGACAATATAAGCCCGTTGCGCACACGCGGAGTTATTTTACTTCCAAGTCAAAATTGATGCATGAGTCCAGTTTTACGTCACGTTGATGCGGCCGGATTTTCGTTAGTATTTGACGCAATGCGTCACTTTTACTCACTCGTGTTGCGGCAGATTTGCGTTGAGATTAATTTGACTCATGCGTCATTTTACTTGAGTTAAAATAACTCACGTGTGCGCACCGCTGCTTTAATGAGTTACTTACTACATGATGATACTGGACACATTGATGGCTATATTACTATTTAATGATGCTATTGACATAATATCACGGCTACCCTAAATGATGATGTGACACATTGATGTCGGCTAATGACTATTGATATGCTGACACATATGATGGCTACTATCCTGAACTGATGATGCTGACACATTAATGGCTACTACTACTGATGATGCTAACATATTAATGGCTACTACTAGATGATGCTGACATATTGATGGCTTACTTACTTATTGTGATGCTAGGATTACTTCATGAGCTAGATATTAATTGATGTCGAAGCGAACACCATTAATGGCTATCTAGCTACTGATGATGACTGACATATTCATGGCCTGAGCTACTATTTGGCTGATGCTGAACCATCATAATTCGATGGCCTAATTACTAGTTGCGTATTATCCAAGATCATATTGTTGGCTACTATTGTTTATGATATTGGCAATATATTGGTGTTCACTACTGTTGGTTATGCTGACAATAGATTGGTGACCACTACTGTTGATGATACTGACTATATTAGTGTTCAGTAGTGTTGACGATACTGACAGTGACAGTATATATGAATGGCCATTACTGTTGACGATATTAACAGCTCAAAAGCGACAACTACTAGTACTATTGCTGAATTTGCTCATGTCATTGTACTGCTCTTGTTAGTTGCTCTTTCTTGCATTTTATTTTGTAGTTGACTACATTGTGATGCAGTTCGGCCGAGTAGCAGAAGATGTCTTCACAATGGACTTTAACTATCCAATGTGTGGTCTTCAAGCCTTCAGTATTGCCCTCAGTAGCTTTGATAGCAAGCTTGCATGTGAATAAATGCCTCGCACCAAATATTCACTACGGCTCTGCACACACAGGTCACTCTGCCCTGCTTTTCAATATACGATCCTGTATCCATAGCGATTTTATTTTCACTATATAGGTAAATGTTTGAAAATCCATTCTCTTATACAACTAAGAACGAGGATTTACTTCAAGACGTAGTCAACATTAGTGCAATGATTTTCTAACGGTTGTCGGAAAATATGTAGTTATTTTCGTATATGGCCATAGAATCGCTGAATAGTATCAAATTTAGTTTAGTCTAATTGTCTGCGAGAGATCCAGTAAAAGTGCACATGCACGTGTCATCGTATGACTCGTCTTCATGGGTCAAAAGTTTATCATTGGTAACCTCCTGTCATTATTTATTGTAAATTTTAAAAAATCAGGCTTGTAAGAATTAGGCAAGCAAGGTGGTGTCATTGTGTGTACATTGGAGCTCTCTATTATTATGTCTGTAAAATATTTTTAATAGCTGATTCCATCGATTTACTGCGTAGTATTCAAAAATTGTAAACAATCTTCAGTTTATATTTGCTGCTGCTTTAGTCTGAACAAAATATGTGGGACGGGAAGCTGTGATCCCGTAGGGAAGCTCATTGATGAACAGATATCATGGCCTGTTAGGATGCTGGTGCCATCAGCAGGTTGCACTTTAGGTGATCACGGCCAATCAGACGAAATATTGAGTGTTGTTGTACAGCAAGAAAGCAGAGTGACAAGAATTATGAACTGTTAGGTAAAGCGTTTAACTGCACAAGTTGCCTTTGAATTATCATGTAAAATTTCCAGTGTAATATACTTTTAATAGTAGACTAGTTGTTAATGAGTAATAATAAGTAATGGCACATTTGGCATATACATTCGTGAGAGAACTATAGTGAAATATATAAAAGTATTACCCAACCTAGTCAAAGAATGTTAGTGAGATGTAAGAAGTTTACATCTATGATAATAAGGTCCACGTGCGTGAATAAATACTATATAAAGGTTTATTATAGGTTAATCACTATTCACAAACTAGTGGAGGAGCCTATACGGTTGCCTAAATGTTAAGAGTAAGAGTCGGATGTTTATCTTGTGGATGGGCCGGCATGAGTTGTTATGCAGACTCACTTTACTTGTTTTTAGGCCAGATATATAAAATTCCCATTTGACAAGTCGTTGTCAATAACTAAAGGCTGTTTCTAAGATCACAGAGCTTTGAGAAATGGTTGGAACGAAATTTGACTGGCAGGCTGCAATTTCAAACTTGCGAAGAGCTTCTAAGGCCTATTCTGCTTGTAAGGATATAGGTTAGGGTAAACCTCCGGTTACTGTCCAGAATGAGTTCCTTTCCAAAGACTCGTTCATTCCCTTTTGTTAATGGTTGGGATTGTTCTCAAACTTTTTTGAGTCGTATGTGCATGGTGTTACCCCTGATGGTAATCTGGTCAGGCAATGTTTGCGCACTCGTTTGAGTAGCTGTGAATTTTAATTAGCAGGCGTAGACGCGGTATGAACGTGTTAATATGTTCACACTAGCCCCTTCTCCTGAACATTCGTTTCTAAGTCACAGTCGGTTGCTCATTACCGTATTGTATCATTTCTCCTATTATGTGCAATATTTATTGTTAACGCGTGCCTTAGTTAATGTTTGTCGTATTATATGGTGTAACAGTAAGCATATTTAACGTGTTTTTGTTGTTGCTTACGTAAGGACTACATACAGCCTTACAACTACGTACCGAGAAAAAGCAGACAAGTTGTCACTACTAGTCGTTCCGTAATCCGTTGTTGATCAGTTGTGTTCATGTCTACATTGTGTTTTATCGTTGGACCCACCTTTTTTATAGTGTGATCGGCGCCCTCTTCTGCGAGGTACATGCAAAATTGAGAGCTTATAAACAATCGGTTCTGTGTAGGAATTTTTTGGCTCTGCCATACCAATCAGTTGGGGATCGTATAAGGTCGTACAGTTCCCCGAACATATTATTATACTAAAGAGTTATTTTGTTAATTGCGGATAGATAACGTGCGCGCATCGCATGTTTGGTGAATACGAGTCATCAGGAGATGTTGGTGTTATAATGTGACAGCTACTCAGAGCTTATGATGACCTATGATGTTAATAATACTTCATATTAATTTACGCGCATGTCTGTATAAGTGTGAATATGGCTGTATGTGTGTGATCTGCGTTCGCGCATGCAGAAAAGCAAACATGACATTATATTAGAGTGTTGCAAACAATTGCAATTCGATGACATGTTAAAAATATCCGTCCATTTGCTTTCTTAAATGTACATTTTTTAGAAACAATGCATCAAGGAGAGAATATCTCACTTCTGTATGCCATGTCATAGTCTATATGCGCGTTATAGAACTTGATAAGCTACACAGAAATGCCATCGTGTTTTATTTGTAGCAGCTGCTTGCAGAACTGTCATCTGACTGTGCTGATGGTTAAGATTAAACTGTTGTGTCAGTGTTTTTATTTAGCTTTATAAAGCCCTAATAGTCACGTTAACGGGACGTACAAATTACCAAGACCATTTATGTAATACGTCTGGGTCGTGAACGTGAAAATAGTACTCAAGTAACTCTGGTGGGTGTACATCTTTATACAAATGTAGTACAATTTACAAATGTACCCCGAAGCCAGATTATACAAACCTGGGATCTGCGTTGGTCAAATACCCTTGCACCCGTGCATGAGCGGTCTCGTGACATTTCAGCCGTCATTCGTTCAGCTACATTTCATCCTTATCCTAAATCGTATAAAAATTGAGAAAACTGACTGAATACGCGAAGGCGATATTAGCAGTAAAGGTAGTAAATGTTACTGATGAAAATTAACATGCTAAATGTAGGTTGATGGATGGAGTTCTTGATGACGAGGTTAGTCTCTCACAAGGATATAACGGCAGCTTGTTAACGTTATATATGTAAGAAATTGCAGAAATTGCAGATTTTAAATGTAAGAATGTTGAAGTTCATGGTGCCGTAATAGTTTAGTTTGATTAACAGCCTATCACAATACAACCAGGCTATAGTTTCAATTTTGTCAAATTGTCACAAGACACATTACTAAGCGCGTGTAGAAGAAATTCCAAAGAACAAGTGTGTGTTTAACAGTGCGTGTGCTGTGGGTCATTGAAAAAACTTGATCAATGTTCGTACCACTAGCATACCCGTTACAATTATGCGTAGAGTGGCGATTTTGTGTAGTGGATATTTACAGCACAAATCCTTTCTTCGTAGTATATTATTTTAACTGTAATTTTACGCCACCAATGCCACGGAGGACAACTTTATCTCGTCATTTGCTACATGCCACTCGTCGTTTATTTGTGCAATACGACGAGATGTGACTCGATGTGTATATTTTATTGAGGAATTGCAAACGGTGTTTGCCGGAAACCTTCATTTCCGTCTCTACTCGACAACGCAATCTGTGCATGTTTGGTCAGTTATGTGGCGCTGCTGCACGATTGCTTGTGAGGAGAATTTCTGCCTTGCTATGGTGCAGCAGTTGCGGTGTCAGTCTGCAATATCCATTCTGTATTATACATGGAGTTTTTGTTGTGATATTAGTAAGCAAGTGAAAATCCACTCATCAAACTGGACGAGATCATTTCTAGCACGGCCAAAAGTAATTATGGCAATCAAAATTGTTGTTGATTCGTGTAGCAACGTTCACTCTGTTGTGTTTAGATTGTAAGCGATGTAATTGTAATACATGTTCTTTTCAAATGTCACAAAATCACGTTTGGCTTATTTTTTTCTGGATGGATGTCAACTTGGTAGCACGACGGCTTATGTCAATACGACTACCACTACTACTGCTGCTGCTGCTGCCGCGTTCACCCTAAACCACCACCACCACCAGCACCACTAGGCTGTAGACGGTCACCTGCATCGGCAGTGCAAAACCCAAGTCAGATTGACACTATCTGTACCCATTGCCTTGAAATATATCCTGTCAGGGATTCAATTCAAATAAAATTAATGAAAATATAACCATATACAATAGCATAAAAATAAGACCCCATGAAAATCGAAAATAGAAACCCATATAGAAAGAACCCTGTTGGGAAAGTGATGATGAAGATGATGATGATGATGGCGATGATTATGATAATAACGAAGACAGGCTTTCCAGCGGCCCTAAAATTCCTAAAATTTTGAGCTCGTCCTAATATTCCAAAAAAAAACAACTTAAAAAATGTATGAAATTCCTAAAAAAAAGGGCTAAAATTTTGTTCAAATTCCTAAAAGAAAAATCTACAGATATGTTTGGAGTTTTTGGTGATGAGATGATGAACCTTTGGTTTGTAATTATGTCTAATAATGGATGGTTTCTAGTTATCTTTATACAGAGTGAGTATTGTGACTCAGTCTACCAGTGACTCCTAAGCTTCAGTGTCTGATTATACGACCCTGTTCCTGGCTGGATGTACAAGAGTAACAAGACATGCCTAATTTGCCTGAAACTTGATGATGTACAGTCGTATCGAGGACTTGGAGGATAGGAATGGCTGGTAGACTGGACACATACCACATAGAACTGTATCTGTAAGTTAATACGTTGATGTTTATGAAAGGTAACTAATTAGTGACTTATTTTATCCCTAAAATGTTTCGATTCATCCCTAAAAATTCCTAATAGCCCTAAAAAACCTGAATTTCTCCCTAAAATGTTGTCAAGGACTGCTGGAAAGCCTGCGAAGAGGATATTTATAATAATGAGTGTTCGCGACATCTTTCTATGATACCGGGAACTATACACCAAACAACCATAGAAACTCAAACGCATTCTTGCTTCACATTTGAAAGACGTTTAATATGTAACTAAAACAAAATTGCACTGACAGTGTGAAGTCTTTGTCGAAAGGAGCTATATTTCCTTATAACTAAAATATGTAGAATTAAACAAAGTTAAATGTAAAACAAAATTTAGTATGTCTACTTTTATGGAATTAATAGCAAAAGCTCTGACCAAATCAGAATACATCACCATTTTTGCTTGCAAGATAAGACAACTAATATAACGATCATGTATTAAAACTTAATAACGCCCTTAAAAGTTTAAAACCAAAATATTTACGACCTATGTAGCAAACTATTCACGTATTCAACGAAAATAATCGTCACCATCCACTCTCACATAAGAAACAACAGGAAACACTAATACAATGTAACTGTGCGCACAGTTTTCTTTCTCATCTACATCCCGTGTCACGCACGCATCAACAGATGACACCCTCACATAGGGGCGATCCCATGCACAGTCAAAAACGCCCCGCCCTAATTAATGGGAGCCATCGTGTCTGACCATGCACCCAACTGCTGTATAATATAGTAGGACCAGTAGACTAGTGAGATACAATCTAATAAAATAATCTAACACCCTTGACATCGTATACAACGTTAACCACACACGAATCTGACCTAGTCTATAAACGCCGAACTAATCGGAGAGATAGCCCAACACACGTTTGAACTGGGAGCTTGCTGTAGTGATTTTTAAAAGCAATTTATCGCTGCAATGTGTTAAAGCCTGAGTTTACAGAAACGCATTTCCGAGTGTATTAGATGCCAGTAACAGGACTTCACAATACGTGCTCCATTTTAGAGGAGCACTTCCGGTAATAGCCATGGCAACAGAGCAAGTCAATGGAAGGATAGCTTACGCAAACGAGACACACATGCCGTTATAATCTCACCCAAGTTGATGGCATGAGAACAGAGGGGTACCACCATGACATTTCCCTACTCCTATACTACATCCACATAACAGAGTTTTTATCACAGCAACAAACTATACCTAATGTGCAGCACACGTGCACTAAAGACGATTGTAAATGTTTCAGTAGCGTTTAAGCAACTCTAACATTTTTAATGACGCTCCTAATAAAGCTCTTCGCCCTCGCGTAATTAAAAACATACCGGATTCAACCCGATCACTGAAGTATCTAAATTAACCAAGACTGTTGCCACGAACAAAAGCGCAAAATAAAGCACATAATGTTCGACTACTTACAGCTATTTTTAGACATACCATTGTCAACGTGGCAATAGTGATGATGAGAACGTTTGCCAGACGCATTTATACATGCGTTTACACATACACGCAAACCAATAAAGTATACGACCCAACGCGACAAGGGTAAACTAGCATTTAACTTGGTGGAGATTTTTTTAATAGTGTTTTGGTTGTCAAATGCTTAATCCTGAAGACAGAACGAACCCAAATCATGGCAACAGCATGGCAGTACACGGTAGCATTTGTATACATCGAACACAAATTCTCAAATGTAGACAATGCCCAATGAAAGGCGGATGGACGGACTCTGGCGAATGCCTCAATTAGCGAGAGAAATCTGAAAACGTATCTAGTGTACGGTAATACGCTTACCAACCACACAAACGTTTACAACTATATACAACAAATGCTACCATTGCACAAAACAATTAACGAGAACTTCTGAGAAATTGCAGACAATGCTCGAGAGCCTTCCGTAACAATGAAATCAACGACGGTCGATGAGCATTTATTCATACGATGCACATGATTGGTGATGCATTCATTCACCGATGCAGATAGAAGCATCTGCAGGCTGGTATTACTAAAATATACTAAAAGTCGACCATTTTTGTCTACTACGAAAGCTGAGCAAGCATCAAGCAGAAGAAACCACTGCGCCCTGCATCTGGGAGTACAACTGCATACGATGAACGACCAGGGCTTCGCTATGCGAATAGTTCAGCGTACCGTGTGAGACATGCCGCCAAGCTGTACAACACCCTCGTGGAAAATCTAGAAAGAGGGCGCTTATATAAAATGATGTAGAAATACATATTCTTGTATTCATATTTGTTTAAAATATTTTCTTGCTTTTAGTTTCATTGGTCGCAAAACTCACGTCGACAAGCCAACTCTAGACACAGAGCAATAACTCTGAACACGCAGCAATACGTCTCGCGCACGTCCAGGGGCGTACGTTGTGCGTGCGGTGCGTGCGTGACTGAATGTGTGAACGCGTTCCTTTGCATGCGTGTTTAAACTATTATGTTTACATGCGGAGGACCGAGGCGTGAACTAGCTACCCAACTTAGCATTCAAACTGGTCACTTTATAAACAGATGCTTTTACACAATGCACCGCGGTGGGTTCACATGCGTACTATGAATCACTACAAATAAACACATACATCAGACGTATATGTCTGTACGCACATATATAATATGTACGTGAGCTGCAGTGATCCGTAGTTACACGAATGATCTATCGCATCCAGACACCGAGAACAAGGATGCGCCACACACTGCACGAATGACGATGCATCTCAACACAGGCGCGCACGCACGCACATCCAACGGCACCTTCAAACACTAGCAGTAGCACGAACACTATTCCGCCCTTCCACCCTTCCGACACAAACGTACGGACGCACACGAAAATCTTAGTTGGCTAAATTCTTGCAATCCCAGTTTCGTATACTAAACATTTACACAATTATATCACTGGTGTACGCTCGGGATAATGTCAGGTTACTAACGTTATACGACTGTTACTGGCCAATATCTAACGACAATTATGAAAAAGAGACCGTAGCCAATAACGTCACAGATGTACTTGCTTTTTGTGCGTGTTTGCGAAATGGGATTCTAATGCTGAAATGTATACCAGTTCATTGGATGGACGCACCGCATTTAAAGGGAAAGGAATAGACAATTTAGGTCCTCTCATACCTCAATTTGGGCTAGAACAGTGCCTATCGATGATTGATAGTGCCTACTGAAAAAAACTCCAACTGTTATTATTAGCAGCATGAGCATACGTTTCGCCAGCAAATACTTGGACAATTAATAAATTTAGTTTTTGCAGTAAGTGGCGTGAAAAGAGGAGGGGGTCCGCTGGCAAATACGTATCTGCGCCCGGAGAACATAAAATGTCAATTCATTTCTCCTTAAATAAACACGTTCACCTAACTGATCACGAATGAACTGTGTCATTGCAGGTGAAATGACTAATTTATTATGTTTAGCAGCGTGCCTTAGCGGGAAGCATAGTCAAAAGATTACCACATCCCCTAGGTATATAAGGCTTAAAAATATTACACATCCGTATAACAATATCACTTAGGAATTGACTCACTTTCTACACTATAGCCTTTTCGTACTATATTATGCAGCTAAATTCCAGGTGACGATCCATCATTTCCTTATACCCGATTACGGCATTAATCTATATTATTCACAATGGAGTGGTGGCTTGCAAATCTCCCACTTCGCCAGTAATCTGCGTACATTATCATGCAGCTCGCGGTGTGGTGCTCTACACCACTGTCCAAATCACCAAAACCCTATCTGCATTCTGCCAACATTCCCTCTCGTGCTCATATTGGTGAACAAGACCTTTAACGCATGTGTGCAACGCAAACCAAATAACTAGCTCCTCAGTTGACACGCAATGGGGCTTCTGGTGATAGCCCGCACGTAATGTTGGAGCCACAGGCCCTTGGGACAGTCAGTAAAACTGAAAATAATATGAACGCACATTCACAAATACTAGCTACCTTACCTCTCAATTACACTTCCACTGTTGTGTCACTATTATATTAACTTTCTTTCACAAAAACTAATGCAGAACGCTCCCGCACTCGCCGCTGCGAGTGTGCTGTGTCGCCATTATGATGAATATATATAGAGTCATATCTGTATCAGGAGTAGACTCCTGATCTGTATCTATATCATCATCTATATATAAATATTCATTATAGCATTCTGATGAGCGCTCTGCAATTTTTGTGTGTGAAAGAAAGTTGATATACAGTGACACAACAGTGGAAGTGTAATTGAGAGGTATAGTATTTGTGAATGTGAGTTACTTACTGACAGTTTTTTACTGACTCTGTCCCAAGTGCCTGTGGTTGGAGCTGTGATGAGGAAAAACTCGTGAAAGGGATTAACTCATTATAATCTTTGGGAACCCCCTTTTCGTTCGATGCTCGAAATTCCCATTGTTAGGTGTACTAGCTTGTGATACGTCAGCCGTTTGTTGGTTGTTTTAAGGTTCATTTTTTACATTGATTTTTAAAGTGAATAACGTGCAATCGGTGCACAAAAACGTGAATCGGATGCTTATTTCCATGTTGGCATGTATAACACACTGGGCATAATGAAATTACTGCTTAGAAAACATCATTTAGGTGACTCATATTAAGTAATTACTCGGGCTCACTTTCCTCTTACAAAAAAGTGACTCAACATTGTTAACAATTATTACGATCACAAGTTCCCGTCTTCTTAATAAAAAAAGCGAGTCACGTGATTCAGCGGTATGCCATACACAGCATGGCATCAGGCAGCTCTACATATACAGTCCCCTGCCCTGCCATATTTGGGGATAAAGGTCTACATAGGTAGAGATAAGAATCATGAATACTGTCATCATACAAACTATACACTCGCACTCCGATGAAATAGGTTCTATCCATGGATCCGTAACATTGCCGTCATGCAAATGTGCTCATGCTCAATTGTGCTTCCGTGGACCCTTCTCACTAAAGAATAGCCGACTCTCAAACTAACACAAATAGACCGTTCCCAGAAGTCCACGTGGCTATAAGTTCATACTGATTTCTAACAACTTACCTAGATACTCTAACTAAAACACAGAATGTTTTTTTCCCTTTACACATTAATCTATGTGAACAACAAAGCATCATTTACGAACGACTCTCTTACGTTGTTTTCCTGCAACATTATTAACAATGTACCTACAGCATCGTGTTTCACTGCCTATTATCTAGGTCTAGATACGCTATGTCATATATTGTATCCAGTGTAGAATGTCAGTTGATCCATACTAAAAGCAATACTGTAGGTTTAAAATAATGCCCGTTCACGTTGTCAAAGTAAAATTCCAAGGGAAAATTGCATGCCAATTGATCACCACTTACAAGCTTTGTATATGTCATGAGCTTAAACATCTTTGTATATGCCATAGCCTTTAACTGACGTCACACAATGTTTTTGAATCAAATCACTTGTACACAAAATGCAATCTCCAATAAAATCATCCGGCACTAACAGACAATACCTATTGCCTGTCCACGGCACATATAGGCAAGTTCCTACGACCACAAACAGGAACATGAGGACCAGTAATGTTTATAACTATAAAAATATTCTCTTTACTTTGTGGATGGATTGATTGTATATACTACAGGCAAAGAGATACACATTTGCTTCTAAAATAAAGCAAGAACTTCTGGCTAACTGCAATAATACTTACACTATTGCCACACCAGGTCCTGTCACCTGTCACAGATCGAATCAGAAAAATGTTCTATTTAAGCATTGTGTGAATTATTTAAACTGCTGCTTAAAAATATTAGGTTTTACCCAAGCTAACTTTGTTTATGTGTTAATACTAGGGGGCAGAGGGCTATACTTGTTACCTAGTAAAGTCTACTTACCTGGTAGCGAAAACAAGAAGAAACGACGTGATCTTTAACCAGACAACAAAGTTGACGCGGACTAATATTACTGCAGCAATAGAAAAATGTACATGTCCTAAATGATTTTAAACAGAACTATCTTCTGAATCTCAATCAAACGATGGACTTCGGTTAAATACTGCTTCAAGCTAGCATTTCCATCTATATACAGTCACCAACCCTTCCCTCATATTGAATAAAATTCTCATAACATTATGTGCTAGAGGTGGGCAGTCCAGATCTCTTTAGGCGTAGCCACAATTTTGGTTTGTTGTTGATCTAGCACTGACTGCTGATTCTCCCGGGCCAATGAAGAGCAGATGTATAAAAATTCAATTCTGACCTGTCATATGCATGAGACATTGTTACGTAACAGATGTAACAGAAATTCGTGTACACCATCTTGTGAAATATTCCACATCGCAGCCAAGTGTACACACCACAGTACACAGGTGCTAAGCCTCCTTGTGTTCAATTATTTATGACTGTATACCTCTGTAACTAATGTCTCTAGCCCACTTATCTACAAACATACTGACTGTGACCAGTAACAGTAACCAGTGACTTGATCATAAGCCTATACCACATACTAGTAGTAGGAATGGTAACCATATGCACTTATATATATATGCCTGGTAGCCCATGGCCACGACCAGTCGGTCACAGCAAACAATCCTGTCCAATTGAAGTCACTGTTCAATCACGTCCTTGGCCGAGGCAATACGACACGTCGCAGATGTCAATGCATTGAACTGGTCAATCATTTGTGATGCATGCTCTCTTTGCAGAGGGCCCCAAGGGCTCCCAGAATGCTCTTGCACTCGGTCAAGTCATGCGTGATATCGTTACGCGATGCACCAGGTGACCGGCTATTCTCCCTGCCCGTCGAGGGCTGTCAGAAGCCGCTGGCCATCCAGGAGTCCACTGTGCGATGCAACAGGTGCATTCACTTCACAGTCGAGGCGCGTTAATGACTGAAACCCAGGCGCTGGACGGCCAGGTTTGCCGGCACGACTACTTGGCTTCTGTCCCCGGCTGTAACCATGATTGATATCCTCTCCATTTAGTAGCAGGTGTTTCAGCACACTGCTGTCTAGACTTGGAGTGTTGCCTGCAGCAGAAGGAAAATGCCTGTTGAACGCGGTGGGGTGTTCTGCAAACAAAATGTCAAAAGCGGTGTAAACTCATGCATTATTACTACTGCATTCATGCTAAGCAAGTTGGGTTACGTGTGCAACTATATGTTATTCTAGGTTAATTCAATGACGCTGTGTTTCAGAAATCGATGAGGTGCGAAAATGATATAACCAGCGAGTATAGTAGGGGGTTATTTGTCAAAACAGATATTATCAGGAGTAGAATCAGTTCCCTATTATCTACTCCTGATATTATGCAACTGGAATGCTGATTTAGTTTGTAAAAAATAATAGCAGTGCCATAAAATATTACACAATCAGATATAACACCACTATTGCACTGCTCATGGCTTGCATTGCATAGAAAAAAGAAATTATGAAGTAATTATGAACACTTCGTAAACAAATTAACAAGGTATTGTATGTTGTTAGCTGTCACATTTAAAATTATAATAATTACTGCCCTCTAGTGGCTGAAAGCGATAGTAAGTGAATTTTGCACAGGGGAGAGATAGTGATCCGCTGGCGTGATTTTTTCCCCTAGGTCAATCAAGAACATAGGGCTCTAGTGAGCGCTGCCATTGGTTGATGACACTGTGACGTCCTTGAGCGACGAGACAAGCTCAACCAATAGCAGCGCTCACTAGAGCCCTATGTTCTTGATTAACCTAGGAAAAAAATGCTAGGAAAAGGAACGGCTCTGATTGGCTAATTTTGTCTTATATTTATTTTATTTTTTATTATTTTTGGCTAATTTTGTTTTATTTTAGAATTAGGGATAGGGTTGGGGTTAGGGTTAGGGTTAGGGTTAGGGTTAGGGTTAGGGTTACATTATCAATCAAAGTTGGGAACACTCCTAATGGAGCGTTAGCCTGATCATGAGTAGTTCATGATTTAGCAAAGAATTGCGTGAAGAGTTAATAAGTGTAAAACTGAGTGAGTGGGCCCCAGATATGTAAGTGGGTCGCTAGCAGAGCTGCCGACATTCACCTCTGTGCAAAAGGAATTTGAATCTTTACAAGTAAGAATTTTCTTCACCAAGTTAGTAGGAATCTAACGTAACGAGTCACGTGTGTGTTGAAACAGTTTTTCACTGGGACCATGCCCCATGCTCAAAAATATTTGAAATCTTTCGTCTGACCTTCTCGGCCTTAATTTTTTGCATCAAATATGGTTTTTCTTTCTGTCACTCATTATTATGATTGAGATGAGCACAGCTAGTGAAGCCGTTTTGAACTGTGGCATAATTACGCAGGTGCACGTTGCAAGCCCAATACGATTGAGCGGCAGCAGATATTTGCATTCTGATCTTCTGACCTACAGTTCTGACCTAATTCTGCCTATCTTGACTACCTACTATAACTCCATGAAAAAATTGAAGACTGTACATTAAGTCGTTTAGATTTGTGCTGCTATTGCTGAAGAATGGATGGACGCTTTGCCGCTATACTAGCTGTATATGACCAAGTCACGTTAGCTGAAATATCAATTCAGTCGATGACAGCTATCTTGGAAATCAAGCTTGTCGTTATCAGTCAATAGATCTGACCGATGAACATGAATAGATCTACAGCTGCACAGTACTAGTAAATAACTGTCTGAGTTAGAGAAATAGCTGGCCTTCGTATTCTATAGGTGTCCTTGAAATCCACACTAGTAGTGCTCGTACTATATGTAAATATTTATATACGACTGTGTGTGTGTTACACGGCTCCTGAAACTATTTGCTTCTACAAGGGCTGTCTCACAGTACTATATATATATATAGGGGTTTGCAAAAACTACGCCACTAAATGTCGCTATATAGAAACCTATGGAATCTTGTTCTTCGTCGATTACTGCTATTCAACGTTAAAGAAATTTCACCGCATTTTGAGCCAAGTGCAATAAAATTAGTACTTTTTTGCAAATCAGGAGCCACGTTACACACAAAGTTTAATAATTTTACTACAGTTAAGTGAATATTTCCAGGGCTAAAATTGTAAATAAATCACGTGTGCATTGGCCTGATTGGCTACATCCAGAGCTAATATTTAAACATTGTAAAAGCAATTAATTCTGATTATGGTTACCAATCATGAGCGATAACAATGACAAATGCCTTATGCCAATATACAAATCCTGTCCCCTATTAATTTAATTTAAAATGTTTCCTAGTGAATTGTTAGTAAATAATGTTTAATGTTTCTAGATACATGCTTCATTGTGTACAAAATTCCTCATCTTTCCAATGCCTACAGCATGTTATGTTCTCACGTGCAAGTTATAATTCTGGTTACACTGCATTCCTGACAGCTATACTTGTCATATACCGGGGCGCCTGGCCACAGCCACAACCATACTCTCAGAAGAGGTACACACACTATATGTTACCAATATGGATGAATGATAGAAAAATTTAACTAAAAGCAGGAATTCAGAAGATCAGCAGAGATTAAATATGAAACATTAGCACTGAATGGTTTTATGGATGTTCATGCTCTGAGTACGATTCACTACCAACTAAATATTACAAGACTGGGAATAAAACTGCCCATTCACCTTTGCTACATATGAGAGACTTTAGGTCTTTATGTATCATTTGCTGGACGTCAGAGTTGCCTCGTGTTCTCTTTGATTGGCCTAGCTCACTTGCTATTGGGCGCTTTATACCTGCGTAGTGATGGTCTGTGATCCGCCTGGCAGTGTTCTGAAACCATTCACAACATGCATCGCGGAGCCGTTTAAACACAATGAAACACGTGGGTATTTTAAATAAAGAAAACAGGAGCAAAAATTCGCTCCACTGTGATGGGGTCAGTAGTTATATTAAGCGCACCACTTAACGATATTTCAACAATTTCCTACTTTATACTAATTTAATCGACTCTGATATGCTAATACAACATCACAAATCAAAATGGCAGATTTTACTTGCATCAATAACCAAATTGTTCAGTCAGACGTTCTATATCTTTTTATCATTATATTACATGACATTTTTTCACATGCAATCAAACAGGTTGACAATAACCAAGCTAGCATAACACCATGAAACGATAGTATAGGAATGGCAGCAGAATGTTATTGTAGGTTTCGGCTTATTACCTGTGTTAAGTTTCCTGTTTGTAGAAGCCTAGTGAGACTTGAGCTTAGCTGAACAACAGGTTGCCGTGGCGATAAACTGCCTCCAACATTGGTGGGTGAGCTTCCCACAGATCGACACTTTGAGGAAGTGCATGATGACAACGTCCTGTTACATAAATGCACTTCAATTATTCACCCAAACCTGCATAAGCACATTTACCACATGAGAAGATAGTAAAAGTTTAACTAATAAGCACAGTCTATGCGTTCATTTAGTGCATTATAGTGACTCTAGCATATTTATATTTATTTAAAGTATTACCTCAATACATTTCTTATTTAAATATGAGAGAATCACTGTAAATATTAGTTGTATAGTTATAAATCACAACAGTTCGGACAGTGGTAGTAGATTAAAATGTCTTTCGTCTTGCCAGTCTGGAAATTGCTACAGTGTGTCCTGTGTTTAAGTGTCTTACCTTTGTGGCCAGTGCCTAATGGTTGAGAATTTGTCCGTGTTGTGGCGGTTTCTATATCCATGGAGAAACATATCATCAGTTACGCCCATGGGAATGTGGGGTGCACTCATCGCCATGTCTTCCAACTCTCCCTCCTATAAAATTTACACCAAATAAATTATTAAATAAACAAAGTTTGATTTACATGACCACACAGCTATACTGATATAATATAAGGTTGGTAATTAACCTAACAGGTGCATGCTGATGTCAATCAAACCCCAGTACATCTAGTACCACGTACAGATAGTAGGAGTAGAACATAGTGGACTACAACTAATCGGGAATGGGATTGCATGACTACTAGGCTGATTACCTTGTCAGCAATTTTGTCGGCCATGATCCCAGTCTCCCAGCAATTTTCTGTTGCACATAATTTATCTATCATGTCTACATCAAAGGGGCTGGACTGGTCCGGCTCAGACATTGACTGAAAAAGTCATTAACAAATAGGAATAACTTGAAAGGAAGCATTAGATGTCTATTCAAATTAAGTGATAACGATTTTAATCATGGATTATGCAGCACAGACACTTTTTGCATAATTTTGCATGATATAAACTTCATGTTTTCTACATAATTATGAATAAAACATGATGTGCAATGTCATAAAATATATTTGACATGGGCTTATGAAAATAGCAAAATGGAAATTTGATCACAAGCTATTGTGATGAGCAGCACTATAACTCGAACAACACACTCTTGGATCCTTATACAGACTCGAACGATATCAGTTTGACTTTACCTGCTGTTACTATACTGCTTACTTATTGCTGTTACTGTTGTACTACCTTACTGCTATTAAAGTAACACATTTTCTTACTAAAATCCACGAAATAAAGGAGAGATGATTTAATTTCATTCCGTATGAAGTACTGCTATAAGGTAAAATCAATCAACAGTACCGGTACCGTGCACTCAATAGGCATATATATATATTTTTATATGGCTATAAGGTTTAATGTTTTTTTTTATATGGCTATAAGAAATGCACCATTGTAGTTAGTGCAGAGCATGTGCCACGCCATGAAATAAAAAACAATACTGCCTGCTGAAAATCAATGTTGCTTGCTGATTAGTGCTGCCACCTACAATAAACAAATTTTTGCCACCGATGGCCATCATGACGTACAGAAAAAGCAGTTTTGAACCAGTGGATGAGGACAGGGTATCAGATCTAGTGAAATATAAATATGGTAAACACCCTGAATGACATCAATAACACTCTGAACCTGTACTGAGATATTAATTCCTTGCCTAATCATCACAATAATGTAAGTTAATAAACAAAATCTTAACGTAATGACGAAATATACATGCTAACTAAAGACACAATAAACATGGCTGTCACAAGTCCCTAACACTAATATTAATGCCCTTCAACAGTCACTGTGAATAGTTTAGGCCACTCGACAGAGTAAGTACATTGTCCAATTGTTAATAAATAAAGAACTGAAGTCTATTTCTCTGCATTGTGAATACCTGGCTATGGGACAAACACTTAGGGACAAGGCAGATTGAATTTTGAAGGTAAATTCTGGTTTCGTCTTTAGAGAGTTACACAATATATCATAGGTATATATATAGACTAAGGCTACATCGTGGGTTAAGGCCAGGACTAGACTACTTGTGTCATACACTCCTACCATAGAGAAATTATCTTCGAATTTATAGCACACTCTGGTGTTGTCAACTAACCTACAAGACACCACTACATTAGGTGCAAATATGTCTGTATTTGTAAAATCTTCAGTGAGGTAGCCTCAATTATAGAGGTAATAAGAAAGCCATAAAATGGAGATGAAAAGATGATCTTACTCATCTATAAATTACATCACATGGTAATTGTGTTTTTCAAAAGCTAACCAAAAAATAATTACTTTGATTCAGCTTATATAGCATGGAAACAACGTGGGCAACAATGATGGGAAGCAGACACTATGGAAAAAACATGTAATGCTAAAGCCATTTGCATAAAATATTTAGCTAGGAGTCTTTTAGTTCACGATTATGTTTCTCTGCTAAAATATCTATGTAGTTCACGTTCAGCTATATTGCAGCCAGGACGAAGATTGACAAGACACCTATGAAATTATATTAGTGTTCTTCAGTGCATTCATTGCTTTAGTATTATAAATAATAAAAACATTATAATAACTGTAAACACGTTTGCACTATGTAATATTATGCACTAATTAAGTCATTGAAGAAATCTCAGTAGGGGACCATGTTTCGATTTACCGAAACATGATCTATAGATGCTTAGCTATATCTTAGTGCTATAACTTAGGTGTCTGTAATTCATTCTGGTATAACAGCTACTTATTGCTAGTCATTACTGATAATATATAACATATATATATATATAATTATATATATATATATAAGCACAGCAAGAGGTATACGTGTTGTTGTATTTTTAATTAGACTGACTCCAAAATTCTCAAGAGTTCTCAATGGCTACTCTTCCACATAAGGCTGAACAACAAATGATAAAATGTAGCATCTAGGATGTTTTACCTTGGGTGAGTCAGAGCAATCACTACTTGGGCTGTCAGGCCGACTGACGCTGCTGGCACTTTTCTTGTTGCCACGTTGACATCCATCATCGTCCATGACCATCTCCGGAAACATGGGTTCAAAGCCCTTGCTTGGGAACAGGATGTCATCATAAAGGTTAATCTTGCCATCAAACATGCCTGCAGCAAAGACAAACATAATCAATTGGTTTTTCTACGGGATATTCGAGCCCAATGTTACACAGTTCAACCACATATAGATGCCTAAAGAGCTGAGAGAAAAATTGTTAATGAACACACTGTTAATTAGTTTTTGCTAGAAGAGCACTGTGCATTAATTCTGTGGTTTTTAGGTAACATGGTTAACGTTTTACAATATTTAAAAAACTTCCAGAATGCGCGTACACCCAATACGTTGCTAATACTCAATTGCTAATACCCAATTAATACCCAATTGCTAAAACCCATTACGAAGTTATTAACCAACAGGAACTCATGAAAAGCTTCAACAGTTCAACGAAAAAAGTGCAGAAAAACAAATAGGAAAATACGCCTGTACGTGCCACGTACGGAGTTTTCCCTGCAGCTAATTGCCAGAACAAACATCTCTGTATCTTTACCAGTGTAAGCTGTTCGCTAACTGAGCAGTTAATTATCACTGATACCGGCTACAATATATGTACGAATTTACAAAATGAAATTACTACATTAGTCACTTTTCCGGCCCAAGTAGAAGTTAGTATGTAGTATAATAGTACATAAATGTAGTATGGAAGATGGAGCACCGAACTGAAAGAACACCTAAATAAATATCTAGCTATATTGCTCGGCCAAGTGAAAGTTCAATGTGACAGAGCAAAGAACTAGAAATATGGCTACAGGCAATGGTTCTGCTAATCAGTACTACGCAGCTCACAAGATTAGTGATCACCCTACTAGTTATTTGCTAACTGCATGATATTGACCCACTCACATTTTTGTGACAAACCACTGTAAACGTAAGTAAATAGCTCACTACACTTTAACTGAACGTTAGCTTTGAAAATAAAACTGTAAAAATATGTATCAAGCCTATATTCGCTCAACGAAAAAACAACTCATAAAACGCGTTTCGCCGCAGTTCTGTATCATGGCGGCAAGAGTCGGCGCCATATATCTATATCAGAAGTAGAGAATAGGGAATTATAGGGTAGGTAATCCCTATTATCTAATTCTGATCTATATGATATCTATGCGCACATCCCGGGGTGGTCACTATAGAGTACCGAAGTGATGACGTCACGGTGGCATGACAACGAGCCCACTGGTTCTACACAATCATATGCTCTGGTAACATTAACTGCGTGTCGTGTTTTGTACCCGATTGTAACCATAATTCTGAGAGTCATTATTGCAGTTTTTATAGATTTCCAAGGGATGGAAGTGAAAAGCAACGGGAAAAAAAAAATGAACAAAAAAAAAATTTACACAAAAAATTCCAATTTTTTTTAAATTAATTAAATATTGTAAGATCGACTTGCTACCGATGCTTTACCGCTGTCTGCAGCGCACACACTCGTGTTTTACGTACGCACAACATTTTTACGCAGTTAATGTTATGGAGCCAGTGGCTTGTGTAGAACCAGCACGTACGTTGTCTTGCCAACGTGACGTCACACTTCGGTACTCTATATATGTCGGTATTACCCCATGTGCGTTCCAAATTTTTCGAGTTAGGGGGGAGTGTTTTTCAACTTCTAAAGCGGGCCCGCGCGGGAGCAAATAGGCCCCCCTTTACAAAGCTAATCCCGCAATAAACCCTCGGGATCGTTCAGGTCAAGCACCGCGCCCGCAGTAGGCCCCCCTCACGGGCCCCCTCCATTCCCTCAACTCTTTGCCCTCCACTTGTCTGCAAGACCTCGCAATAGGGAGTAGGGGTCCGGGTAGGACTCTTCCATTGTGTATGCAATAGGGGGTGGGATATTTTCATTGTGTATGCAATAGGGGGTGGTATTCTTCAATTGTGTCTGCAATAGGGGGTAGGGTTTTCCAATGTGCAGTTCGCACTAGGGGGCCTATTATTTTTAGTGAGAACGCACATGGGGTAATACCGGCATATATAGTGACCCCCCCGGGGAGCACATGCACCCTTCATGACCTTCAGTGCTTGGCAACACCGCATGGCAACAAGAGACGCGTCACAATTAACATCGCCGCAGAGCGACATTCGACCCGACACTTTCACGTTGTAGTCTAAAAGCTTTTTCCCAATTCCCAGGCATTTTTTTTACCCATCAAACATATAGGCAATTACAAACGTGCAATGTTAAAATATTTTTGCAATCCATTTTTGCCTGATTCTATGTTTGCCGCTTGAAGTTTCGAGGGAAGGCAATGAAAAATAATTGTCAATATTCAATTTTATCAATTTTTGACAAATATTTGTCATTAGTAACCCCTGATATTATATAATTTCAGTGAACAATAGAAAATAAGGAAATTAGTACAACATAACTGCTGACGTTCAACTCCTATTCCTACAGCTTGTAGTTTAAATACAAGTTGTATTTTTCACTCACGATCCTATACCACACACTATTTTAACGACGTAGGTTCGTTAATGACGTTATGATGAATTTATGGCAACCTCATCAGTGTATAACCCTAACGCTCAATATCAGAATAAAATCAACACCCAGAATAGACTTACTGCCCTAATTATACACTCAGACGTCACATATGTTGCATCCGATGTGTGCTCGTGCTAATATCGCTACTGAGTGCGATGCTACATTAAGCGCCCACGCACTTGCACACGCACGCGCATACACACGCGCACGCACACGCACATGCACACGCACGCGCATACACACGCGCACGCACATGCACATGCACACGCACGCGCATACACACGCGCACGCACATGCACACGCACACACTTACACACATACACACATACACACACACTCTCTCTTTCTCTTTCTAACTGCCAAACTAGGATAAACTGAAAGGTATCACCCGAGTAACATATAGCAGCGACAGCTGGAATGTAATTAATGTGGAGGCTATAATTATAACTGGGACAACTGCTATAGCTATACCATGGTACCCTATTGCCTTTCCGAATACGAACTATGCCGAATATAATTAAATCTAACGCATTTCATACTTACTATTTGGTCACTATATTTACCGGTCACAGCAGCTTATCCCACTACTCACAACAGGCGACCTCACTACTCACAACAGGTGACTTCACTACTCACAACAGGTGACCTCACTACTCACAACAGGTGACCTCACTACTCACGGCATCGGACCTCACCGGTCACAACAGGTGACCTCACTACTCACAACAAGTGACCTCACTACTCACAACAGGTGACCTCACTACTCACGGCATCGGACCTCACTGGTCACAACAGGTGACCTCACTACTCACAACAGGTGACCTCACTATTCACAGCAGGTGACCTCATGCACTACTCTGTAACTCACAACAAGTGACCTCACTACTCACAACAGATGACCTCACTACTCACAACAGGTGACCTCACTATTCACAACAGGTGACCTCATGCACTACTCACAACAAGTGACCTCACTACTCACAACAGATGACCTCACTACTCACAACAGGTGACCTCACTGGTCACAGCAGCTTATCTCACTACTCACAACAAGTGACCTCACTACTCACAACAGCTGACCTCACTGGTCACAGCAGCTGACCTCACTGGTCACAACAGGTGACCTCGCTACTCACACCACCTGAGTAATTACACTTATGTAGACGTGAGAAATAGACGTAAAATAAGAATAAACTTTTATTAATATCAGGAGAAATATAATACTAGACAGATTGGTCTATTATGCTTCATCTAACAATACGTGTTTCTCCAAGATGGCCCCATGATGCATCGGTGTGGGTTCTTGGGTAAATGGCACACTCTTGCTACAAGAAATGAATAAACTCCAACCTTTAATGAGCAAACACAATTCGACAGCAAGAGGGGTTAAAGGGATACTTTCTCCTAGAATTTGAGAGTATATTATGATAGTATATTCATAAACAATAGTAAATACAAATTTCTATAATTACGCGTTAACGTTTGTCATAAAACAACATTGAATTTTGAAATAGTCATTTTTGGCATGACACCCGCGACGTTAAACTCCTATTCCTACAGCTTGTAGTTTAAATACAAGTTGTATTTTTCACTCATGATCCTATACCACACGGAATTTTAACGACGTAGGTTCGTTAATGACGTTATGATGAATATATGGCAACCTCATCAGTGTATAACCCTAACGCTCAATATCAGAATAAAATCAACACCCAGAATAGACTTACTGCCCTAATTATACACGTCAGACGTCACATATGTTGCATCCGATGTGTACTCGTGCTACTGAGTGCGATGCTACATTAAGCGCCCACGCACATGCAAACGCACGCGCATACACACGCGCACGCACACGCACATGCACATGCACACACTTACACACATACACACATACACACACACACACTCTCTCTTTCTCTTTCTAACTGCCAAACTAGAATAAACTGAAAGGTATCACCCGAGTAACATATAGCGGCGACAGCTGGAATGTAATTAATGTGGAGGCTATAATTATAACTGGGACAACTGCTATAGCTATACCATGGTGCCCTATTGCCTTTCCGAATACGAACTATGCCGAATATAATTAAATCTAACGCATTTCATACTTACTATTTGGTCACTATATTTACCGGTCACAGCAGCTTATATCGCTACTCACAACAGGTGACCTCACTACTCACAACAGGTGACCTCAACGGTCACAACAGGTGACATCACTACTCACGGCATCGGACCTCACCGGTCACAACAGGTGACCTCACTACTCACAACAGGTGACCTCACTATTCACAACAGGTGACCTCACTATTCACAACAGCTGACCTCACTGGTCACAGCAGCTGACCTCACTGGTCACAACAGGTGACCTCGCTACTCACACCACCTGAGTAATTACACTTATGTAGACGTGAGAAATAGACGTAGAATAAGAATACACTTTTATTAATATCAGGAGAAATATAATAATAGACAGATTGGTCTATTATGTTTCATCTAACAATACGTGTTTCTCTAAGCTGGCCCCATGATGCAGCGGTGTGGGTTCTTGGGTAAATGGCACACTATTGC